CTCAGATCGATAAGCAGTATCGATAAAGGTATCGATATCAATAAATATTAACGATCCCCATCCCTAATGAAGAGTACAATGGAAATTTCTTTTGCCAGTTCAAGGCAGCAGCTCCTTAAAACCCTTGTGTACCTTGACTCTGGTTCACTAACCGAGAACGGTTTGAATTTAAAGCAAAGCCACATGTTGTCACTGGAAAAACAGATTCTAAAAGTTTTCCTGGTCTATGAGTTTTTGTTTCAACTGCAACATACAGATCATCGGTCATTTGGGTGATTTGAAAAGTTTCCCTTTCCAGATCTGATATATAACCTTGGTAGTCTCCTCTCCCCCAAAGGGATCCCCAAACACTTCAACTGGCTTCTTTCAGTGGAGAGGAGCAGTTGCTCTAATCTATGCTCCCCATGGAAGACTGCCACCCTGCCTCATTTCAACTGCTTCTACCTGAAATGATCTTGGTTATGATCAATAATTATAAACAAAAGGTGAGAGTGGTAGAACAGAGGAACTGGTAAATCATCAGCTTTACTTCGTTACCAAACCCTTCCTTTACCAAAACAGACTGGAGAAAGATATTTGAACTAATCTGCCTTAGACTTAAGTCTTACCTCAAATCTGGTTGGATCAGTCCATCGTTTTCTGATTAGGAACCGTGGCCTTAGAGGAACCTTAAGGCTTAGCATATAAACCAAACTGCTCCAATGACTCCTGGCGGTCATGGCCTGAAGATTCCAAAAGAAGAAGATATTATATAAAAAATAAAAAAAAATCAAGCCCTGTGCTTCCAAAATCCGACAGTCCTGTGCATGAAAATCCCTTTGGGTCAAAGCTAGTGTTAGGAAGTGGCATGCAAGAGTAAAAAAGGGTTAAAGGGCCAGCAAAGTTCAACCGACTAGCTAAATATGTTATTGGCAAGCAGAGTTTTAATGTGTGACCCATGTAAGCTGTTATTGACGCCGAGCAGTGCTTCATGGTCATTTCACCCATGGATTGTGTGTTGAAGAGCTCTACAAAGTTCAGAACATCTNGACCCATGTAAGCTGTTATTGACGCCGAGCAGTGCTTCATGGTCATTTCACCCATGGATTGTGTGTTGAAGAGCTCTACAAAGTTCAGAACATCTGACTATAAAAATAAGCAGCACATTTAAAGGTCCAGTGGAGGATGATCTTTTTCCAGGTGGATCATCAAAATAAGTGGTCCTAAGTGTCAATCATTCTGGTGATATGTTTACGTGCTGTTGGATACGTGATAGTGGAAAAATTGCTAATCTTCTTTTGTTTAGTAAGTTTGTATGAGTGATGCAAAAAGCAACTTTTAAACGGAGCGTGCACGAGCCCATTTCTCCTCACACACGTTTAATAGGTGTTTTCTCACAGGAGCGGGTATAGGGTCGGGCATCTGCAGACTTTTTTTTTTTAAGTGGAGAGGGCAGGTCTTTTAAAAAATTTGCAAAAGTCCTCCACTTTACCTTTAAAAATATGGTATTTTGAATTTCCCTAACTAATAAATACTTTTTAATTAAATATTAAAATTTTTAAATATCATTATTTCTAGGGGTGTGCAAAATAATCGTCATGACGATGCATCGCAATTCTAATTTTTGTGATCTGCTGCATCGATTCTTGATGCCAAGTATCGATTCTTAATTAACGAAAAGGAATAAATAAAATACATGAATGGTGTCAGGTCTAAGCACCTAAAACATACATACATACATACATACAGGGAAAGAAAGAAGGCACAGAGACAATTAATTTAGTTTTACTCGCGAGGAGAGTAGGAAGAGACTGCAGAGTTTGCCATCTCCACCTCACTCTGCAGTCCCAGTGTTCTCCATCGCTATTTATTGGAATCAGTGGTCCCAGCTGAGACTACAGGGGGGGGGAAACAAGACAAGGAACTCAGACTTGCAGTCTCAGCAAACATGTCCTCTAAATCTCTGGGTTCAGTCAAAGTTTAAGCTGTTGAAGCTGTTCACCAAAGTTCAGCAGGTTGAGTGCTGCTCGTAAATCAACCACAACCTCCCCAAAAGCAAGTTCACAAATCACAGTATACTTCAGAAAAGGTGGCTTTAAACACATGCACATAGCACACAGCTTTATGCATGATAACCCTACACAGATACATTTATATACAATTATTCTAACAAATGGTTGGCACACATCCGCCAAAAGCAAGTGGAATACAACTTTCAGTCCAGTAGATGTTGCTGCGGATACTGCGACGAGTCATTCATAAACAAAACATGGAGACTGAGAAAATTTGCCCAGCTCCATCACATTCCAAGTCAGATGTTTGGATGCATTTTGGCTTCAAAAACAAAGAATGTAAAAACGAAATTGATATAACGCACGTAATTTCCAAAAGGGGAAATGTCAAACATTTGAATGTTTCCATTTCATTGGTATATAGGACCACTGAGGCCATGTAAATGGCACTGTTATTTTAAGTTTAATAAATCCTAAGCACTTTTTGTCAGTCTGTCCACTCCAGTAATAGTAATATATGTGTCCAGTATTTGTTTTCATGGCAATACCTTCGATAGTAGTTTCAATAAATACAGCTATGTATGAATTAAGTTGCTTTCAGTTATGTATCAATTGAAGACACAATCCAGATCTTACCCAGCCAGTCAGCCGCTGGTAATAGCTGTATTTTTTTCTTACAGTTTACAGTAAAAAATATCGCGATGCATCGCAATATTTCAAGTATCGAGATGCATCGTGATAGAATCGCATCTTGGCATGTGAATCGTGACTTCTTTGGCAATACCCACCCCTAATTATTTCTTGACCATTTTAATCTGAACCAGCAGTTTATTAACCTACCGGTACTTCTTCTTGTTACCATTTAGCTCAGTGAGTGTAAGTTATGTGGCTACAAAGAAGGTGTTTTGGTCTGTAAAGAGTCAAATGTTGAGTAAATCTTTAACAGATGCTCTGAGAACTCATCGTTTCAGACTGTTAAATATGCAAACAGATGTATTAAATGTATTTAACTCTGCTGATGGAAATGTAGAGGCATGGATTCAAAATAAATAAATAAAATAAGTACATATTATGTAAGGCAGGAGCGCCGTCTAAGTTCTGGTGTGCTTAAGAGATTTAGAGTTCCTGTAATTAGTTGACTGACTGACCTGAGTAAGAGCTATTTATTCAGGGTTTTGGAGATGGGAACTTATTACCTATTGTATTCACAAAAATGCACAAAATGTCTTTAGAACTCTTCATTTCTTTACAACCGATTAAGCTAAAAAATCTTCTGTGTGTTGAGATGATTATTTTCTGTTTTTGTGGTTTTTATTTTTTTAACTAGTGACTGAATTCCTTCCAATCTTTTTTGTCTTTTCTTTTAGATTTGCATAAACAGTCAAGGTAAGAACGATATTATTTGATGGTTTTATATCCCATTAAAAAAATATGTTGAAAGTAAACTTCACGTTTTTCTTTTTCAGATGAATATGAAGAAGCAATCAAGGTATTTTTTACATTCCTCCTGAAGTGGTTCACTTTTTTTTTTCTCATATTTCATTATGAATTCTTAGTTATCTTTGCAAAATGCTCAAATCTAAACCAGACTGGTTCGTGAGTCTTTGTCACAGATGATTAAATTCATTTTTGTTGTTAATTTCCAACCCAGGAATAATGTTAAATATAAAGCCTTTTATTGTAGCTCTATTTTTTGGCTTTCATTTTATTCATTTTCCCAGAGACTCCGAACTATTCCTCTGCTCATACTTATGCAAATCATACCCACAGCATCATGTTTCACCATGGGGATAGTATAAGAAGGCTATAACGATAGCAAAGCAGCAGCCTAGGTGTGTTGGGATACTTTCCTTTTTTTTATTGTTCACTGTTTTATTATTTTCCTCTTCAGAGTGCTGAGAAGCAGGGGAACCAGCTGCACATGAATGTGTACAAGATGAAAGGCCAGGCGTGTGGCGGGCCACTGAAGGCGGAGGTGAAGGAGCTTAAAGGAGACCTCCGGCCGGCTCCTCCTTACCCGTCCAGAGTCAAATCCGTGGATAAAGGCACTCAGATCACTCCAGAGAGAGAAAACGTAAGAAAACAACTTTGTTTCTTTTTTTTTGCATTTTAAACAGGTTTCAGTGTAGAATCAGATTCACTGAGCTGGATTGATATCAGCTCCGATATTGACTTATTAGCTGGATCGGATATCAGATGAATGACTCCCATCCAGTCATTTAAAAACAATGTTTTTTCGAGCCTGATGACTTCAGTCACATAGCAAGTTATATAGTAACCTGACTCCACCAGATGGATTTGCTCCGCATATCCATCTGGAAACCTTCCGTTGAAGTAATTTTGGAAAAGGGGCGAAAATACTGGTTAGCTGATTGGCCTATGTTGGTGATAGACGGGCCAAATAAACCAATCAGATCAACGAAGCATATGACGTACTAACAGAGTGACAACGAAAACACAACCACAAGCCAGGCACAAGCCAATTGATAGATCAAACTCTTGCCGAAAATAAGTCGGGAGAAGAGCAAAAACATCTTTTCCTCTGAGAAAAGCCTCCAGAGCAGTGTTTTGCTCTTCTTTCAGTGAAGAAATACTCTGTAATTCCGATAAAACTTGCTCGATAGCCACGCTAACGCTAGTTTCATCGGCTGAAGCCGCCATGTTCTTTAGACTGAACTGTCGCGCTTCTCGTTGCGTCACACCTCAACCCGCCTCAAAGCCAACGCTGATTGGACGTTCGTTTGCCGAACTGCTCCAAATTTTCTTTAACAGAAAGTAGCCAGACTGATCTGCGAATGAAACCTTGAAAGCTCGCGAGATCAGGATGGTCTCACGAGGCTAGTTATATAGTTCATTGATCAATAGTATTGGCTCGGGATCCTGTACCAACTGAAGAAAACAAAACTGGATTGGTGCATCTCTAAACGGAAACAGTCAAAACATTGTCAGACATATCTGGTGATGTCATATGACTAATGAATGTATGACACTTCTGCTTACAGGTAGCAGTAAAAGATACTAAGGGGAATAAACCTGATGACGATCCTCCTCCCATGTGGTTCAGATCGTATATGGAGAAGGTCAGCTTTGCTGAAACGGACGATCTGAACTGAACTTTCTGCTCAGACTCAGACTAAAAGTTTTTTTTTGTTTTGGGTCCTAGTTTAAGGATGAAGTTGTGAAAGAAGTGGTGGAAAGAATGTGCAACGACTTCTCTGGCCAGTGTTGTACGCACAAATCCTCCGACGTGCTCCAAGAGGACTGTGGGGCCATTGAGGGTCCTATCGGGCCCCGACCGGGCCCTTCCAACTGTAACGGATCACTTGGCTACACCCCGAACTGCAGCACCTGCAACAAGCTCACTTCAGAAGGGGCTTACAAATGCAGGTAGGCGTCAAGACAAAAGATGTGGTAGTTTCATATAATAATAGTTTAATAATCACCTCCGCCAACGAGGTTATGTTTTTAGGAAAGTTTGTGTTTGCATCTGTCTCCTTTCAATTCAAAATGTCAGAAATAGCTTTGAGTCCGAGGTTTTATAGAGTGGACCAAAATCAAAACCTTGTTTCGGCTTAGAAAACATGCAAATTGAACCGGACGAATGGATCTGCCCCTTTGGAATGAGGGTCGTTTGATTTCTTTGTTTGTCTTGAATTGTAAAAGGCTTCCTGGATGGGAAGCAAAAAGTCTTCAAACTTGCAAACAAAGTCCAGTGGATTATTTTTCTCAACTTTTTTGGAATGACTATGACCTGGATGACTAAGAACCTTCACCACAACATTGATTTTGGTTGTGGACATGAAAATATATATATATTCAATAAATGTTACACAATTAATAAGGCTTTGTAAAAAGGTTTGTGTGAAATTTTGATTATCACCTAGTGCCCTGTGAGGGGTCAACGGCTGGTTATACTTCAGCAGCAGTTTCTCGCATTGAGCTTGTCACCGATATTTTTGATTTATGCCCAATATTGAAGTGTGGTCTGCGCTATGTTATTCCACGCCACAACGCAAGAGGGACAATCACGAACTAGCTTTGGGTCTAGGTACGGCTGAGGTGATGAGGAAGTGGGGGCAAGTTTGTGTGACAATGGAGGAACATGAGGGCGAAACGGAGCGGGGATCCAGGTGGAAAAAGGGTCCCAGCGTTCTTTTTCTAGCTGGTCCATCTTCACGAGTCGTTTTTTAAAATGGCGGTCATACAAACAAAACAATACTCAGGAATAAACCACGATACGATACGATTCGATTAATTGGTTCTATTTTTTATTTTTTTTTACACCTTGCAATAGACAATGTTGAAATAAATCACTGAAAGCTGCAATAACGTTATGCTTTTTTTTTTTTTTTTT